ATATATTTATATATATATATATATATATATATATATATATAAACTTAAATATACTTTTAGTTTTTATAATTTTTTTTTATAAAACTTGTTATTTTGAAAACGTCTTTGAAGTTGAATATATATATTTTTTCATTAATTCTCATGTCGTTAAAAATTGATGATGATCGACATCAAGAAGTTTTTTGCGCTAAATTCTGATTTTATAATGTGTTACGTGATACGTATTTGGTAAGTATATTAATTGATATAGTAATAAAGGAGAAAAATGTTTAAATTATCGAATCCACATAAATTTAAATTTATAGTTGTTTAATATAATAGTAGTACTAAACAAGTAAATTAAAGAATAATTGACTTTAATCACGTAAAGAAATACTTAAGCATAGAAATTAAAAGAAAGCAATAATTTGGATGAATTTAATATATAATTGAAGTACTCAGAAATTGATTCATTAACTTTTCCTATAAAATTTAATTAATTTCTTATTCAATTTTGTATTTAAACAGTTAATTTAATAGTTTGTATATGTATTTAAATCCAAATTCTTTAGGCAAGAAATTCTATATTATTTAAGAAAAATTTCAATTCCTTAGTAATTTTTGTTAGAAAATCTTGTATTAAGGTTAGAGACTAAAAATCAATCAATGAGATTTAATCTAATTCCTTGATAATAAATGTCACCGGTGTTTATTTTGAATCATAATTTCAAAAGGATTTTTCAACCTCAATTAATTCTATTATATCATACATTATGTGGTCAAACCAAAACAAGCATTAACAATATGAGAAAATAATTAACTAAATAATAAATTTTGTTGAACGAAGAATAAGAAAAAATTACATAATTTTAATAGTTATCTCAATTTCTAACAACAAAGAACTGAGTCGTACATGATTAAAGATTACACAATAATCTTGCAGTGCTCCATGATTACAATGTTGCTTTCAGCGAACTATCTAATCTCTCTAAAATTATGTATCTAAAATTTTGATCCTCCCATGCATCTACAATTCCTAATTTTATAAAATTAATTCAATTGGGCTTGGGTATGATTAGCTTGCTCAAAGTGCCTGCTAGGCTCGCTTTGAGCCATCATGTGCATGCTCAAGAAGTCCTCTTTGCCTTCACTTGCTAAGAGTGAATAGTGAAAGTTCTAAGTGAATTTTACTTGCTTAGAGTGTCTAATAAACTCACTTTGAGTGACCACTTACATCCTTTTAGGGGTATCTTCCAACTTCAGTCTCTCATATCAAATTATGAATGCTTCCGGTTAATTCTTCTTATTCAAAGTACCATGTATCTCGTTCTGAGCAATCATGTTTGAGACTTCTAATTTCTAAATTATTTTCCTTTTCTTATTTTAATAACATAAAAAATCCATAAAAATACTTAATATTTAACGAATAATATTCTGATTTAAAATTGATTTTTGGCTAAATATTTTATAGTTAAAAACAAGATTTAAAAATATAATATATAATAATTACCTAAATTGAATTAAGTATGTATACATATTTAAAGTTATAATTACGTACGTCAATCATTTCATGTAAACATAAACAGAAACGAAAGAGCATTTAATTTACGGAACTAAAACGAATGATATATAGTTTAATTACAAGACTTAAAAGAAAAACATGACTTGTTGTTTACAAAGCCCAAATGAAAATACTTATTGTACCTGTCTGATGGTACACTCGTAATCTTCAAGTAGGTAGAGGGCCGAACGGGAGCTCTAGGTGGATGCTTCAGAGGGGGGAGGTACCTGCAAAAGGCACTCCGACGCTCAAGTCAGGACAAACACGAATCTCTAGGGTAAATAATTGAACAGTGACATACCTCGTTACGTGTGACCTATTTATAATACCTGACATGGGCCTGAACATGATGGGCCTTCTCTGACACTTACCAAATTAGGTAATGCGATGTTAATCGGCGGGTTATGCCTTAATTGTGCTTTGTCCTTTGTTAATCACGATCGTCATTCTAATTATTCTCTCTGTTGACCTTCAGCCGAGCCGATACGGATGGCCGAGACGTCATCTCTGGCCGAGCTGATAGGGGATGGATGCAGTTCTCAGTCCCTTACCGAGTCGGAGTGATATCTGAGCTGTGTCGATATATGATAGGATATGACGTGCCGATCCACGTGGCCGATCCTTGTAGCCGATTGCTGAGCCGAAGTGATCTGAGTTGCGTCAATATATGATAGGATATGACGTGCCGGTCCACGTGGCCGATCCACGTGACCGATAAGATCCTTCTGGTACACTTATAATCTTAAATTAAATACTAATATGAAATAAATGATTACATATTAAATAAAATAATAAAATATTTAATATGAAACAAACATTTAAGGGGATGAAATTAACTACATTTTGATAAAGTTAAGCCTGCATGCAAAATTTGAACTTGATTTGTATAATAGTTACATGTTAATTTTTAACATCATGCAAAATCTCATTATTTATGTTTTGTGTGATAAAAATAAAAAAAATAAAAAGAAGAGAAAGGAAGGGAAATAGATAAAAAAAAACTTGAAATTAAAATTATTTGGTAGAAGAGAAATAAAAAAATAAAAAAATAATTTCTTTATTTAAAATTATTTATTTTAAAATATAAATATAAATTATATATAATTGATTATATATAATCGATTGTGTATGTTAAAATTTAAAAGAAACAACATATTTTAAACAAACATAATCGATTATGATAAAAATATTCTATATATATATAAAGAGAGAAGAATTTTATAATAACACCGATGTAACTTTTATTAAGTATTATATTGCTCAATAACTTTATATTAAATGTGAATTTTGTAAATCTAACTGTTAGATTAAAAGTTCATATCACTTCATATGTTTATATTAAATTTTATTAAAATTGAATAATAACTTGAAAACAATTAAAATGTTCATATTTTAATATATTTTAAAATGAATATATTACGTTAATTTTATTTATAAAAAATATTAAATTATCTTAAATTAATATAAAATTTTATATATATAATTTAAAAGTAAATAATTTTAAATTTAAAGATTAAATTTATAAAATTTATATTTAATATGAAATTATTAAATAGTATAATATTTAATAACCCTCTTCATGCTTGTATTCTATCAATTGTGGCAAACATTTAATACGACCCATGGCACTTATCAAGAGACATTATTTAGTCATCCTCATGCCTTGTACACACTTCTATGCAAGACAGCATGGTTGCAATTATATCAATTTATTGTTAGTGAAATTTGACAGATATATTATCAATAACTAATATCAATATTAAACATACATTTTAACCTCTTATTAATTTATTAAATCGTTGTACTTATTTTGTGCTGTATATGTAATAATTACTCACCATGATTATATTCTTTAATAACTTGCAGATCCAGCAAGTACCAACTATTCTGGAAGGAGGTAAGAAACTGATAAGTGATAATGTGCACTTTAATTTGGATCAGAGTGGTAGGCAGAAGCATAACCACTGTATAGGATTAGATTAGAAGGAAGGGGATAGAATTCATAACTTATATGTTAATTATCTCAAATAAAATACTATTTTAACACAAAAGCAAAGATTACAAAAGATTCTGTTACCCACTGGAGTTAGTACTAAGTGAAGTTGTAAGATTCTTTTGGAGTGATAATTTGGATAATTTTGTCCCTACTTATTTCAAAATTAAAAATAATCATTTTTTATACTTAAAAAAAAAAAAAAATCAAACATAGGAATGTGATTCAAATTAATTTAGATGCTCCTTTCAATCACTTTCATAGTTGTTTAGACACTTGCAAAACGAGAAATTTCATCATTTTTGCTAAAAATAAAATGAAATAAGTTATAATTATTAACTTCTCACTAAACATAAAATAAAAAAAAATGTTGCATACATGATACATGTGACCAAATACGCTAATCAACTTAAAACACATTGGTTTGTCTTGTCTGGCCCCTTTTTTAAACTTGGTAAACCCCACCGAGAGATCCATTTGACAAGTTTACTAAACGTAGTTTTTTTTAAGATATATTTTTATAAAAAAGAGTATTATATAGTATTGTTAATTATCGATTATTTACACTTATTTTTATATTAATATTGATATTATCCATTTTATCCAACTACTAAAATTTAAAAGAAATATATTTTTATCTAGAAAAATATTATATATTATTATTAATTATTACATCTCCACATTTATATTAATATTGTCCATTTTAAGTCTCGACATATCTCTATCCATGTCAATTAACTTTATACCATCTGTTACATATACGTTATTGTACCAAACGATTCTTCTTAGTTTTAGAATAAAAATATAATGAATAAATTATAAGACATGTCTCTCATTACTAGTGTTATTTAGGAAAAATATATCTATAAGTCTCTATACTTTTTGAGAAGTTTCTAAACTATACATTTTTTAATTAAATCCTTAATTTTTCCAAATTTTGTAATTAGGCCCCTGAAATTAAAAAAATCAAGACTTGACTCAGTTAAGAAATTTTATAGTATAGGGAATTATTTAAAAAAACTTTTTTTCTTCTTTCAAGTAACTACACATATATATACACCATTGTAAATAGAATTACTTCATTTAGTGTACACATTATTTTTCAACAATTTTAACTTTAGAATTATCTCTCAAATTATTCTTTCTTATTTTATCATTTTTCAAAAATCACTTTTACAATTACAACTATCCAAAAAACTATTCAAACTGTTTTATTATTAATAGTTCACTTTCATTTATATATATATATATATGAGGAAAGATAAAATAATTCTAAGAATAATTCTTGATAAATTTATTTTACTCAATAACTCATTGTGTATATTGATTTTTAACGATCTAATTCTTAAATTAAAAGTTTTTAATGTATAGATCAAGTCTATAAATTTTTTAAAAATTTAAAATTTATTTGATGCTTTATTTCATTAATTCAAATTGATCAATAATAATAAAATATTTTATACATTGATTTGAATTTACATAACAAAATATTATATGAATTTTAGTTTCTTAAAAAATTTATAAATTTGATCTATACATTAAAAATTTTTAATTTGACGGTTTGGTTGTTGAAATTCAACAGATACAATAAATTATAGAGTGGAGTAACTTTATCAAGAATTATTCTTTGAGTCATTTGATATTTCCTCTATATATACATATATACATACAGACATACATACATACTACATACTACATACATACACACATACATATATAAGAGAGATCCGTTTACTTCAAGAGTAAGTCTACCTAGACTTATTCCATTCAATAACTCATGTTCTATATCAAATTTCAATGCTTCAATCATTAAATTTAAAGTTCTTAATGTATATATTAAGTCTACAAATTTTTTAAAATTTGAAAAATATTTGAGATTTTTTTTTTATTAATTCATATTTAAAATATTTTTATAATTATTTATCAATTTGAATTAACAAAATAGAGTATTAAATAATATTCAATTATTTTAAATATTTACAAACTTAGTCTATATATTAAGAATTCTTAATTTAATAATTAAATCGTTAAAATTTGATGTAAAATATAAATTATTAGATGAAATAAATTTAGGTAAACTTCTTTTATATATATATATATATATAATTCTTATACCAAGCAGTCAAGTTTTCTGTTTCGTGGGGACACTACTTTATCATTCTATATAGATTTTTTTTTTTGGTGTACCTCTCTTTCTCTGTACATGCAACCAACTAATTCTGGTTGTCCATTATTGCACATGTTTCTTCACTTCCGAAGAATTAGCACAACCGTCAATTAGCACGCTCTGTAGTCCCTAGGAAAAATTAAAATTAAAAATAAGTAATAAAAGAAGTTTGATCTAGTCAAGTCTTCTTGGTCCAAAACTCACTAGATCTCTCTCTTTCAAGTTGAATGAAGGAATGTCGGTGATTAATCATGCTACTCTGTTTCAAGTTGAATGGAATGAATGCCTCCACATACATGATTAGAATTTAGACCCAAGTCAGTGTGTCTATTTGTATACCCCTATACCAGTAAATTACATAAATTACTCTAACTAATGATACATAGACCTTCTATTTAAGACACTGTAACAATCATGTTATCCGAGTATAATCATGAGGTGATCTTAAATAATAGAAAATAAATTCCTTATACTGTCTAGTGTATGTTTTGAGTGGGAAGTTAAATCTTAAATTGATCCCTGAACCCTAGAAGGGATGGGCCTATTCCCTGTAAACTTGTATTATAATAGTACCTCCCTATTGAACTGTGCACATCATTCTCTTGTCTCCTTGTGACCAAAATGGTCATGTACCCACTACACAAATTTTGTTTAAAATGTTGTTAAAGTTTTTCTTAAAAGAAAATTAGTTCCAATCCTAATTCAACTTTATAAATCCAATTTATAAAGTGAAATTTTTTCAATAGTCGCAAGTTTTTTACTCATTTTCTTATATTTAAAATTGAACATTTTTAACATAAAATTTACAAGCATCTCAGAATTGACAACTACATGTGATTTAATATCCATTAGATAATTGACGAACTAATAAATCTAATAACACTTTTTATAATAACAAGAATTGATATTATTTTAAAAAAATAAATTTAAATTCGATTCAATCTTATAAAATTTAAATTAAAAAATAAAAAGTATTTTTTACTTATATATATATAGAGTTAATTATTCTTATACTGTCAGTGTAAAATTTTTTACACTGATAATCAATCATATCTTTTAAAATTACTTATTTTATTATTATTTTATTAAATAAGCAACTGATATGTCACTATTAAAAGATATAATTTGTTGTTAGTGTTAAAAAATTTTATATTGGCGGTGTATATGTGATTAACTTTTATATATATATATATATAATTTTTTATTTTTTATTTTCATACCGTGGATGTGAGATGTAAAACGGTTTTCTCATCATTTAAAGTGATATAATACAATTGCAAATCGCCGAGAGAATCCAAAGGTGGACAACACAAGAATCGGCCTCAACCATATAAGGGAAAACAATAAATTATTATATTAGTAGAACTAAAATACCATACTTATCTAGCCAGACTGTAAAGAAGAGACAATTATCTGTAGTTCTGTGCAATGCCAGATAATTTAACCAGATTCATAAACAGAAAAAAAAAAATACTAATTAGAGACAGAAAGAAAAAAGAGTGCATATGTAAAATAATTTAATTTGCAAATCTATAATAGGTTCACTACATCTACAGCTAGATTACATGCATTGAGAAAATGCAAGAAACAATCAAACAGCTAATTGTTGTTGCTTTTGATGGGATGAAGAAGATTCATCCTCATTGTAGCATAAATGTGCCTTTAGTGATTTTCCCAAACTTAGGGAAGAATCTGCAGAATTCAGTGGTTGCATCAGCAACATTTCTCTTTGGAGATGGGAACAGTAGGCTTGGAATGTGCCAGGGGTTACATTCAAATGGAAACCCAAGCCAAATAGGAAGTCCACTTCAAGAAAGTTCATCTCTATTGTGGTGATTCCTCCAACTTTTGCATAGTAAGCATTGTTGTAGTACCTAAGGATTTCAAGAGAGACACAAAAGTGAAAGACTGAGGAATTTCTGAATAGCATGCAAAATAAATAAAATTTTCAGGTTGAAACAAGCAAGTCAATAATCATCAAGAGTTTTGGCATTTCCTTTTATGTCTCGTGCTAAATTCGATGTCAAATTTATGTGCACACAATGTTTCAGGAACTACATGATTGTGTTTAAAAGTTAGCTGCTGAGTACATGCAATAAAGTGGTGGGGTCACATGGGTGGGTTGTCTCTTTCCAATGTAAAGCCAGCCTGGACATGTAATATTCACAAGCAAAACTATATTCTTTTAAGAAGCATGGTCGTTTTCAATTTACAACTAAATACCAGATAATTATTATTATTATGGTTGGAAATAAAAACCAATAAATTTAACATGCAAGATCTGAGTTTATCAGAGACTTTAATGAAATACTTCACAATGAACAAGGAGAGAGAAACATCGATCTTCATACACAAGAATGGCAGAGCATTTTTCTTTGTATTTCTCTTATTTGATCTGCATTTATCTAATCACAGCAATTTCTCACTAAGAAATTCAAGAACCCCCCGAATGTCTTAATTAAATTTGCTCATCCAAGCCTATTAACTTCACATCGTCAAAGGAACATTTCAATTCACTAAGATCGGTCTGGTAGCACCGAAAATTGAGTAGCGCGATCAAATAAGATGTTAGATTCAAACATCATTCTCGTGGTTGTATAAAAAAAAAATCACAGTAATATTTTCACAGAAATTCTATAGAGGACTAAACTTAAAAATTTACGGTTCATCACCGATTATTATAGACTAAAGGGTATTAGATTTAAAAAAGAAAAGAAAACTTAGCAGTATCTTGATCACATTAAGATACTTACAAGTCATCCATGAATTTTGCAGCTACCATGACACTTGTAATGAGTAACCGGTGGACATTGAAGGAGTTGATAGGCAAGGTGGGTTGCCTTTGAGTGAAGCGATCAAGATAGACATATGCAACAATGAAGCATGATGGACTGCAGTTAGCATATTTGAAAATTCTCTCAAGGTAGCTTTGAATTGAGATTGTGGGGCGAGTCAAGCCATGAAAAACTGAGATCTTTTGGTGTAGGAGTTGTTGCTGGTTAAGATCATTAGATTCAGCTACCCTTTTGAGCATAGATGAGAGAAAAGATATAAGCTGAGGCATAACATTAGGACTCTCAAGCTCTGCCATGGGTGCTAAGTGGTAACCAATTCTAGGTGGTAGCAAAAGTGCTTGGAATTGATGTCATATAGTGTGGTATATATAATAAGGTTTATGTTGAAGTACTAGTGGAAGGGGTTGAAACTTGTTTGTTATTGGTAGGTACTTTTCTTTGCCAAAATGCCCCTTTGTGATTTAAATTATCTCGTGTTAAGTTGGCATTTGTGGTGTGGCTTGTGTCCTTTTCGGCTTAAAAAGTTCTGGGGTTTTGAGTCGGATAATAATGATTTTCGTTTTTCCTCTACTCAGTTTCAAAACTTGACTTGTAAAAGAGGGAAAGAGGGTCGTGTGTGTTGCGGATTCGTGTCTCTTTGTTGCAAGGGAACTGTGGTTTTATGGTGATTTGTTTGTGACAATATTCTGCATTCCATACCCATCATGTGATTACATGTGGGAAATTTGCGATGGTAATTTAAGGGTCCCACGTTTTAGGCGACCTCTGCATGTGTTTTGATTCTGAACAAGTGGGTGACATAACATGGATTTGCTATGTTGGTCCATGGCATCGGTATATGCTGTTTTTGTTTCTACTCCTTTGCTTATACCCATAAAACGAATGCAGAGAAAGGTGGTGCTTGGATTCAAGATTGCTTCATGTGACCCAAATCAATTTCAGATTTTTAACAATATAATAGGAAACAGTCACTAATTTGTAAGGATTTTAAAGGGATCCAACTTTAAGTAAATTTGGCATCTTAAAGGGTTAGGTCTATTAATTTTAAGTATAATTAGGATAGAATATGAAATTTAAGTATAATTAAACTTCATATTTTATTAATGTGGAGTGCCTAATTTAATTGTTAGAACTTAAATACATGGTAAAAGTTTAATTCAAAAGATTAACTCATTACGTGAAAAAATTTTAAGGTTTATTTATCACATTAAATTTTATATTTTATCCAATAAAAAACTCTTAATAAATATAAAAACTTATTTCCTTCAAAAGTTTGATAAATATTAAATAAATAAACATCTTTTTTAACTTAAGTTATTTTCTTACTTGATAGTTAGAATTTGAACCCAAATTAATATTTGTAAATGAATATATGTATTTGTTTTGGACACTCTATGAAGGATCATTACATTTTTAAATTTAAGGGTTTAATTGCGTTTTTGATCCCTCAAGTATTGTAATTGTGTAATTTTGATTCTCAAAGTTTTAATTGAGTAATTTTAGTTCCTAAAAGATTGCAATTGTGTGATTTTAGTCCTTTAATTTTTAATGAATAATTTTAATCCCTTAAATATCATAATTGTACGATTTTAGTCTCTCCCATTAAAAATTTAATAATTTTAATATATATATAT